GGAGAACAGGGGAAAAAAAAAAAAAAAAAAAAAAAAAGGGAGAAGAAGGATGGTTTTAGAGCACCCACCATCCCCAAAAGGAATGGTCCAGGGGGGAAAAGGAGGCCACCAAGGGGGTGACTCTGCTCCTCAAGGGACATCAGCAGAACATGGACATCCCCGCTGGGGTGAGGGAGGGGGGGGATTCTGCCCCTCTGGGGGGGGATGTCCCCCCTCCCTGGGGACATCAAGGTGTTGGATGGGGCCGGTGGGACTGGTCTGGTGGGACCTCAACTTTGGAGTCCTCAACATCAGGAGGACAAGGACCTCTTGGAGTGGGGCTGGAGGAGGCCCTGGAGATGCTGGGAGGGCTGGAGCCCCTCTGCTGGGAGGGGGGGCTCAGAGAGTTGGGGAGGTTCAGCCTGGAGAAGAGAAGGCTCCAGGGAGACCTTGGAGCCCCTTCCAGTCCCTCAAGGGGCTCCAGGAGAGATGGGGGGGCTCTTGATCAGGGAGGGAGCCATGGGATGAGGGGGAAGGGTTTTAAACCCAAAATTAGGAGATTTGGGTGAGATCTGGGGAGGAAATTCTTTGGTGATCAGGGAGGGAGCCATGGGATGAGGGGGAAGGGTTTTAAACCCAAAATTAGGAGATTTGGGTGAGATCTGGGGAGGAAATTCTTTGGTGTGAGGGTGGTGAGAGCCTGGCCCAGGTTGCCCCGAGAAGCTGTGGCTGCCCCATCCCTGGAGAAGGGGGTTCAAGGGCAGGTTGGAGGGGGCTTGGAGCAACCTGGGCTGGTGGGAGGTGGCCCTTCCACCAGAAGGGATGGAACCGGATGGTCTTTAAGGTCCTTTCCAACCCAAAATGTTCTGGGATTCTACGGTGATTCCACCACTTCCCTGGGTTGGAAGAGACCTTGAAGCTCATCAAGCCCAACCATCAACCCACCACCACCCAACAGCCCCCTTAGATCCCTCCAGGGATGGTGTTTGGGGAACTGGAGCCATTGGATGAGAAGGAACAGTTTCCAACCAAAAATTAGGAGATTTAGGTGAGATCTGGGGAGGAAATTCCTCCCCCTGAGGGTGGTGGCCCAGGTTGCCCAGAGAAGCTGTGGCTGCCCCATCCCTGGAGAAGGGGGTTCAAGGGGAGGTTGGAGGGGGCTTGGAGCAACCTGGGCTGGTGGGAGGTGGCACCGAGTGGAAACCAAATGACTTTTAAAGAGCCTTTTTTGGTCCTCTCAGGCCCTAAAGAACCTTTTTTGGTCCTACCAGCTGCCAAAAGATGGTCCTTTCAGGCCCCAAAGACCCTTTTTTGGTCCTCCCAGGCCCATAAAGAGCCTTTTTTGGTCCTCTCAGGCCCTAAAGAACCTTTTTTGGTCCTACCAGCTGCCAAAAGATGGTCCTTTCAGGCCCCAAAGACCCTTTTTTGGTCCTCCCAGGCCCCAAAGAGCCTCTTTTGGTCCTCTCAGGGCTTAAAGAGCCTTTTTTGGTCCTACCAGGTGCCAAAAGATGGTCTCTCAGGCCCCAAAGAGCCTTTTTTGGTCTTCTGAGGCCCTAAAGAGCCTTTTCTGGTCCTTCCAGGCCCCAAAAGATGGTCCTCTCAGGCCCCAAAGAGCCTTTTTTGGTCCTCTCAGGCCTCCAAAGAGCCCTTTTTGGTCCTTCCAGGCCCCTAAAAATGGTTCTCCCGGCTCCCAAAGAGCCTTTTTTGGTCCTCTCAGGGCTCTGATTCTCCAATTCTGTGACACCCCCCAGGTCTGGTCTGAAGCCCAAGATCCCACCGTGGGGGCAGGAGGAAGCCCTCTCCCCGTCCTCCTGTGGTGTCCCACCTCTCTCGGGGACGTCTGTCTATCCTCTTGTCGTCCTCCAGCTGGCGTTGAAGCTTCTCCTGCTCCTTCTGTAGCCTCTCTTCCACCTCCCTCTCCCTGGCCGCCGTGTCCACCGGTTTGGCCTCCCCGAAGATGGAGGCAGCTCGGCTGGACTGGGCCGCGGGGGCCACCGAGGTCTCCTCCTCTTTGGGGGCGCTCCGGGGCTTCAGGTTCAGCTTCGGCCTCTGGGTGGGACCTGGGAAGGAGCCACGATGTCACCAGTGACCAGAAATCCCACCCTCAACCGCTCCGGATCCTCAAAACTCCCCCAAATTAGTGGGGGGGGGGCAAAAGCAATTTCTCCTCCAGTTTAACAGCCAAGGAGAGCTTCTCGCTGGTGACAGAAAAATGAGGGGTTTTTCTTGCCCCAGCACCCTCTTGGGATCTTGGTGAAGGTCCCATCACGGGCCACGGGGGGTCCATCACCCTTCGGGTACAAGGGACAATGACCATCCAAGTCCTCCTCACGTTGGTCCCATCATGGGCCACGGGGGGTCCATCACCCTTCGGGTACAAGGGACAATGACCATCCAAGTCCTCCTCACGTTTCCTGGGTTTCTGCCCACAAAGAGCCTTTTTTGGGTCTTCACAGGCCCCCAAAGAGCTTTCTTTGGTCCTACCAGGTGCCAAAAGATGGTCCTCTCAGGCCCCAAAGAGCCTTTTTTGGTCCTCCCAGGCCCATAAAGAGCCTTTTTTGGTTCTACCAGGCCCATAAAGAGCTTTTTTTGGTCCTTTCAGGCCCAAAAGAGACTTTTTTGGTCTTCCCAGGCCCATAAAGAGCCTTTTCTGGTCCTCCCAGGCCCCAAAAGATGGTCCTCTCAGGCCTCAAAGAGCCTTTTTTGGTCCTCTCAGGCCCATAAAGAGCCTTTTTTGGTCCTCTCAGGCCCTAAAGAGACTTTTTTGGTCCTACCAGGTGCCAAAAGATGGTCCTCTCAGGCCCCAAAGAGCCTTTTTTGGTCCTCTCAGGGCCTAAAGAGCCTTTTTTGGTTCTACCAGGCCCATAAAGAGCCTTTTCTGGTCCTTCCAGGCCCTTAAAAATGGTCCTCCCGGGTCCCCAGACAGCCTTTTTTGGTCCTCTCAGGGCCTAAAGAACCTTTTTTGGTCCTACCAGGTGCCAAAAGATGGTCCTCTCAGGCCCCAAAGAGCCTCTTCTGGTCCTTCCAGGCCCCAAAATATGGTCCTCCCAGGCCCATAAAGAGCCTTTTTTGGTCCTACCAGGCCCTAAAGAACCTTTTTTGGTCCTACCAGGTGCCAAAACATGGTCCTCTCAGGCCCCAAAGAGCCTTTTTTGGTCCTCTCAGGGCCTAAAGAGCCTTTTTTGGTTCTACCAGGCCCATAAAGAGCTTTTTTTGGTCCTTTCAGGGCCTAAAGAGCCTTTTTTGGTCCTACCAGGTGCCAAAAGATGGTCCTCTCAGGCCCAAAGAGCCTTTTTTGGTCCTTTCAGGGCCTAAAGAGCCCTTTTTCGTCCTTCCAGGCCCTTAAAAATGGTCCTCCTGGGTCCCCAAAGAGCCTTTTTTGGTCCTCTCAGGCCCTAAAGAACCTTTTTTGGTCCTACCAGGTGCCAAAAGATGGTCCTCTCAGGCCCAAAGAACCTTTTTTGGTCCTTTCAGGCCTCCAAAGAGCCCTTTTTGGTCCTTCCAGGCCCCTAAAAATGGTCCTCCCGGGTCCCCAAAGAGCCTTTTTTGGTCCTACCAGGCCCATAAAGAGCCTTTTTAGGTCCTACCAGACCCCAAAAGATGGTCCTCTCAGGCCCAAAGAGCCTTTTTTGGTCCTACCAGGCCCATAAAGAGCCTTTTTAGGTCCTACCAGACCCCAAAAGATGGTCCTCTCAGGCCCAAAGAGCCTTTTTTGGTCCTACCAGGCCCATAAAGAGCCTTTTTAGGTCCTACCAGACCCCAAAAGATGGTCCTCTCAGGCCCAAAGAGCCTTTTTTGGTCCTACCAGGCCCATAAAGAGCCTTTTTAGGTCCTACCAGACCCCAAAAGATGGTCCTCTCAGGCCCAAAGAGCCTTTTTTGGTCCTACCAGGCCCATAAAGAGCCTTTTTAGGTCCTACCAGACCCCAAAAGATGGTCCTCTCAGGCCCAAAGAGCCTTTTTTGGTCCTACCAGGCCCATAAAGAGCCTTTTTTGGTCCTACCAGACCCCAGAAGATGGTCCTCCCGGGTCCCCAGAGAGCCTTTTTTGGTCCTTTCATGCCCCAAAGAGCCTTTTTTGGTCCTCCCAGGCCCGTAAAGAGCCTTTTCTGGTCCTTCTAGGCCCCAAAATATGGTCTTCTCAGGCCCCAAAGAGCCTTTTTTGGTCCTCTCAGGCCCTAAAGAACCTTTTTTGGTCCTACCAGCTGCCAAAAGATGGTCCTTTCAGGCCCCAAAGACCCTTTTTTGGTCCTCCCAGGCCCCAAAGAGCCTCTTTTGGTCCTCTCAGGGCTTAAAGAGCCTTTTTTGGTCCTACCAGGTGCCAAAAGATGGTCTCTCAGGCCCCAAAGAGCCTTTTTTGGTCTTCTGAGGCCCTAAAGAGCCTTTTCTGGTCCTTCCAGGCCCCAAAAGATGGTCCTCTCAGGCCCCAAAGAGCCTTTTTTGGTCCTCTCAGGCCTCCAAAGAGCCCTTTTTGGTCCTTCCAGGCCCCTAAAAATGGTTCTCCCGGCTCCCAAAGAGCCTTTTTTGGTCCTCTCAGGGCCTAAAGAGCCTTTTTTGGTCCTCCCAGGCCCATAAAGAGCCTTTTTTGGTCCTCTCAGGCCCTAAAGAACCTTTTTTGGTCCTACCAGGTGCCAAAAGATGGTCCTCCCAGGCCCCAAAGAGCCTTTTTTGGTCCTCCCAGGCCCATAAAGAGCCTTTTTTGGTTCTACCAGGCCCATAAAGAGCCTTTTTTGGTCCTCTCAGGCCCTAAATACCCTTTTTTGGTCCTTTCAGACCCAAAAGAGACTTTTTTGGTCCTTTCAGGCCCCGTAAGAGCCCTTTTTGGTCCTTCCAGGCCCCTAAAAATGCTCCTCCCGGGTCCCCAAAGAGCCTTTTTTGGTCCTCTCTGGGCCTCAAGAGCCTTTTTTGGGCCTTTCAGGCCCATAAAGAACCTTTTCTGGTCCTTCCAGGCCCATAGAACCTTTTTTGGTCCTCTCAGGCCTCCAAAGAGCCCTTTTTGGTCCTTCCAGGCCTCTAAAAATGGTCCTCCCGGGTCCCCAAAGAGCCTTTTTTGGTCTTCTCAGGCCCTAAAGAACCTTTTTTGGTCCTACCAGGTGCCAAAACATGGTCCTCTCAGGCCCCAAAGAGCCTTTTTTGGTCCTACCAGGCCCTAAAGAACCTTTTTTGGTCCTACCAGGTGCCAAAAGATGGTCCTCTCAGGCCCCAAAGAGCCTTTTCTGGTCCTTCCAGGCCCCAAAATATGGTCCTCCCAGGCCCCAAAGAGCCTTTTTTGGTCCTCTCAGGCCCCAAAGAGCCTTTTTTGGTCCTACCAGGTGCCAAAAGACGGTCCTCTCAGGCCCCAAAGAGCCTTTTTTGGTCCTCTCAGACCCAAAAAGAGCAAGTTTGGGACCACCACACTCCCAGGAACCAACTAAAATGTGGGAAAACAGGGGAAACCGGGCCTTCCCGGGAGCAAAGCCCTTCAGCCACCCGGAAGGGGCCAAGATTTGCTCCACGGTAGCGGAGAGAAGAAAGAGGGGCCCAGAGGAGCGAGGGCGTCACCTCGGTCATCGCGGCGGAAATCATCCCGGCCGTTCCACCGGTCCATGCGGTCGTCCCGCCGGTCGTAGCGGTCCTCGTAGCCTCGGTAGTCGTCATCCCGGCGGTAGCCGCTGCCAAAAGCCCTCCTGCCGCTGCCTATCCTGGAATCGTAACCTACAGGAGGGAAGGAGAAGACCTTCCCAGTGAGTCCCAGTCCCTCCCGGTACGGCGGGGCGCGGAGGTGGCCATTCTGTTGGCCAACAAAGCCACAACGGGCTTAAAAACCCAGGTTGGGCGATGATGAGAGTTGGCCATGGGGTTGAAGCTGCCTGGAGAGGGACAGCTGGTCTTCTGCACCCCTTCTCCCAGTTACTGGAGGGGAACTGGGTGGCACTGGGAGGAACTGGGAACTGTCTGATTCCCCCCCCTCCTCCCTCTGGGAATACCCCACCTCGGTCGTAGTCCCTGCTGCGGTCATCGTAGCGATCCCTGCCCCCGAAGCCGCGGTCCATGTCCCTGCGGGGACCGTCACGATATCGGTCGTCGTAACGGTCGCGATACCCTGGAGGGGGGGGGAGGGGGGGGGAAAGGAAAAAAAAGAGGTGAATCGCTCAATCCAGTGAGGTGGGTTGAGTCCTGGTTGTGTGACAGGACTCAGAGGGCTCTAATTGATGGAGTGGGGTCAAGTTGGAGGCCTGTGAGCGGTGGTGGCCCCCAGGGACCAATGCTTGGCCCAGTCCTGTTCAACACATTCATCAGTGACCTGGATGAGGGGACAGAGTGTATCCTCAGCAAGTTGGCTGATGGTACCAAACTGGGAGGACTGGGCGACACCCCAGAGGGCTTGGCCACCATCCAGGGTGACCTGGACAGGCTGGAGAGCTGGGCAGAGAAGAACCTCATGAGGTTCACCAAGGGCAAATGTGTAGGGTCCTGCACCTGGGGAGGAAGAATCCCAGGCACCACTAGAGGTTTGGGGGGGATCTTCTGGGAAGAAGTTCTGAGGAGATGGATCTGGGGCTCCTGGTGGATGGGAAACTCTCCAGGAGCCAGCAATGGGCCCTTGTGGCCAAGAGGCCAATGGAGTCCTGGGCTGCGTGGGGCAGAGTGTGGCCAGGAGGTGGCAGCACAGAGGGACCCAGGAGATGGTTTTACCCCAAAACCCCCCCGGCAGGGATTTTCCACCTCCGGTTCTTCTCCAAGGGCCACAAATCCCTTCAGGAAGCAGGAAAATCCTGGTACTGGTCACCCCAGTTGGGGGACGGGGGGTTGAGCTCCAGGGCGGTGACTCCACCACGGGGGATAACACAGATATTTTTTTCAGGGGAAAAAGGAAAAGGAGGAAAAAAAAACCCCACATCCCCCTGGAAAGCCGGGGCAAGGTTTGGCTCCGGGGAAGGAACCACCGAGTCCCCGGGGAAATCCGTTTGCCAGGGGGAGGAGCGGAGGGAAGCAACACTTCCCGACTCCTTTTTGGGGACAAAAAAAGCCCTATTTTTTTTTTGTTTGTTTTTTTTTTTAAAGGCAACTCACTGTCTCCGAAGCTGTCGTCGCCCCGGCGGGGGGGGTAGTCATCGAAGCTGTCGGTGGCGGCGGGACGGGCCCTCCAGTCGCTCTCAAACCTCTCCGAGTCCCGGAACCGATCCCGGTCTCTGCCAAAGCAACGATCGTCCCGATCTGCCAGAAAAAGGGGGGGAAAAAAAAAGGGATATTTCAGATATTTTGGATATTTCGAATATTTCAGCTCCCAGAGTTGGAGAGAAGCAGCCAATCCCCTGCGGAAGGCGCCCGTCTCTATCAGCAGTAACCACCCACGCTGCCAAAAAAGCCCTTGGCGGGGTTAATTAGCACGAGAGGGATGCTAATGTTAATTAGTGTGATAGGGGGGAGTGGGAGGAACCCACACAGCACCCTCCAGAGATAAGAGCAGGGAGGAGAAGACGGCCCAACCATCAGGGGCCTCCAGCCACCATCAGGGTGGGGACAAGGGCCGGTTGTCCTCCTCCTTGGGTGGCCACCTCCTCCACCCACGTGGCCACCTCCTCCACCCACTGGTGGCCACCTCCTCCACCCCCAGGTGGCCACCCAGAGGGTCCAGGTGAGGGGACACTCACCTTTATCCTGAGCTTGATCAGCAACATCCACTCGTATCCTTCTGTTCCCTAAAGACTGAAAGAAATAAGAGGGAGACGTCAGCCCCGAGGCCTGGAGATGGGCACGGGGGGGGGACAAGAAGAACCCACCTCAGGCCATTCCTCAGCAGCTTGGACCACACAGGGCTCCTCCTGGAGCCCTAAAAAGTCCTTTTTTCCCCCCAATTTAAGTCTTTCTCCAGCAGGGAAAGCCAACTCTCTACAAGAAGCTGCATTTTAACGCGTCTCTAGCACCCGGGATGCGGAGGAACGAGCCTGATGTGAGTTGAGGAGGAGGGGGGGGACACGCACATTTTTTGGGGTTTGCAGCCCCCCCCTAAAAGTCCTGCTCCACGTGAGGGGTTGGGGGGACTCACCTCTTCGTTGAGGCTCAGAGCCTGGAACAAGGAGTCGATGTCTTCGAACTCGGCGTATCCGAAACCTTTCAACCTCTCCGGGTTGGTGGGCTCCCGCGGCAAACGCACAGCACTTATCTGGGGGGGGGGGGGGGGGAAAAAAAAGGGGGGAAAAAAAAAAAAAAAAAAAAAAAAAAAGCATCGTTTTGCGGGCCAGATGCTGCCAAACAATGTCTCCAGAGAAGGAGACCCCCCCACCTCTCTGGGCAGCCTCTTCCAGGGCTCTGCCACCCTCAAAGTCAAGAAGTTCCTCCTCATGTTGAGATGGAACTTCTTATACTCAACTTTGTGCCCATTTCCTCTTGTCCTGTCACTGGGCACCACTGGAAACAGACTGGCCCCATCCTCCTGACCCCACCCTTGATGAGATCCCCCCTCAGCCTTCTCTTCTCCAGCCCCAAAAGCCCCAAGTCCCTCAGCCCTTCCTCCCAAGAGAGATGTTCCAGCCCCTCATCATCCTCATAGCCCTCTGCTGTCCCCTCTCCAGCAGTTCCCTGTCTTTCTGGAACTGGGGAGCCCAGAACTGGTCCCAGTGCTCCAACTGGGGCCTCCCCAGGGCAGAGCAGAGGGGCAGGATGACCTCCCTTGAGGTTCTCCACGCTCTTCTTGATCACAGAATCCCAGAATCCCATGGGGTTGGAAGGGCCCTCTGGAGATCATCTAGTCCAACCCCCCCTGCCAGAGCAGGTCCCACCCAGAGGAGGAGGTTGATGCCCCCCAGGATGCTGTTGGGCCTTTTTGGCCACCACGATGCTGGCTCATGGCCATCCCAGTGTCCACCAGGACTCCCAGTTCCCTCTCAGAGCTGGTTTCCAGCAGGTCTCTCCTTCCCTCTTGGCCACAAGGACACATTACTAGCCCATGGGCAAGCTGGTGTCCATCAGGACTCCCAGTTCCTTCTCCACACAGCTGGTTTCCAGCAGGTCTGCTCTTTCCTTGTTGGCCACAAGGGCACACTGGTGGCCCGTGAGCAACTTGGTGTCCACCAGGACTCCCAGTTCCCTCTCAGAGCTGGTTTCCAGCAGGTCACCCCCAACCTGCTGGGGGTTTGGAGGGTGATTCTTCCCCAGGGACAGGACCCTGCACATCCCCTTGTTGAGTTTCATCGGGTTCCTCCCCACCCAACACTCTGGGGTCAACCCTTCGCATCCCACCCAAAAAAACCCCAGTGGAAAACCAGTTTTGGATCCCTTCATCCCAGATTCCTCGTGCCCGACACGAGTCCTGGTGCAGGGACAGCTCGCTGGGTTATCTGTGCCCCCCTCCAGGTCACGCTGAGGGTCCTCAGCATCACTCCCAGGCCCTGTCCCACCTTCTCTCTGCACCAACACCTTCTCCAGCCCCTCCTGGATGGATCTGGGCTCCCAAAAGCAGCTTCTCCTGGGTCAATCCCTGCTCCCAGGCCTGGGGAGCGCCAACAGCCTCGTGGCTTCCTCCTCCTCTTCCTCGGGAGGAGCCTCACCCAGGCCCTTACTCCCCCAGGAGGAGCAGATGCTGCCTCAGCAGGGACCAGAAGTTAAAAAAAACAAGGAAAAAATAAAGGAAAAAATGAAGGTAAGCAGAGTGTCCCTGCAGCTGGTGCCACAAAGCTGGGTGCCACACCAGAAGGTCGGGGCCACCACCCAGAGGGACCTGGCCAGGCCGGAGAGTTGGGTGGGGAAGGAACCTGGATGAAATTCAACGAGGGGAAGCGCAGGGTCCTGTCCCTGGGGAGGAATCACCCCCCAAACCGGTACGGGTTGGGGGTGACCTGCTGGAAACCAGCTCTGTGAAGGAACTGGGAGTCCTGGTGGACACCAGGTTGCTCACGGGCCACCAGTGTGCCCTTGTGGCCAACAAGGAAAGAGCAGACCTGCTGGAAACCAGCTGTGTGGAGAAGGAACTGGGAGTCCTGATGGATACCAGGTTGCCCATGGGCTAGTAATGTGTCCTTGTCAACAAAGGAGAGACCTGCTGGAAACCAGCTCTGAAGAGAAGGAACTGGGAATTCTGGTGGACACCAGGTTGCCCATGGGCTAGTAATGTGCCTTTGTGGCCAGGAAGGAAGGAGAGACCTGCTGGAAACCAGCTCTGAAGAGAAGGAACTGGGAATTCTGGTGGACACCAGGTTGCCCATGGGCTAGTAATGTGCCTTTGTGGCCAGGAAGGAAGGAGAGACCTGCTGGAAACCAGCTCTGAAGAGAAGGAACTGGGAATTCTGGTGGACACCAGGTTGCCCATGGGCTAGTAATGTGCCTTTGTGGCCAGGAAGGAAGGAGAGACCTGCTGGAAACCAGCTCTGAAGAGAAGGAACTGGGAATTCTGGTGGACACCAGGTTGCCCATGGGCTAGTAATGTGCCTTTGTGGCCAGGAAGGAAGGAGAGACCTGCTGGAAACCAGCTCTGAAGAGAAGGAACTGGGAATTCTGGTGGACACCAGGTTGCCCATGGGCTAGTAATGTGCCTTTGTGGCCAGGAAGGAAGGAGAGACCTGCTGGAAACCAGCTCTGAAGAGAAGGAACTGGGAATTCTGGTGGACACCAGGTTGCCCATGGGCTAGTAATGTGCCTTTGTGGCCAGGAAGGAAGGAGAGACCTGCTGGAAACCAGCTCTGAAGAGAAGGAACTGGGAATTCTGGTGGACACCAGGTTGCCCATGGGCTAGTAATGTGCCTTTGTGGCCAGGAAGGAAGGAGAGACCTGCTGGAAACCAGCTCTGAAGAGAAGGAACTGGGAATTCTGGTGGACACCAGGTTGCCCATGGGCTAGTAATGTGCCTTTGTGGCCAGGAAGGAAGGAGAGACCTGCTGGAAACCAGCTCTGAAGAGAAGGAACTGGGAATTCTGGTGGACACCAGGTTGCCCATGGGCTAGTAATGTGCCTTTGTGGCCAGGAAGGAAGGAGAGACCTGCTGGAAACCAGCTCTGAAGAGAAGGAACTGGGAATTCTGGTGGACACCAGGTTGCCCATGGGCTAGTAATGTGCCTTTGTGGCCAGGAAGGAAGGAGAGACCTGCTGGAAACCAGCTCTGAAGAGAAGGAACTGGGAATTCTGGTGGACACCAGGTTGCCCATGGGCTAGTAATGTGCCTTTGTGGCCAGGAAGGAAGGAGAGACCTGCTGGAAACCAGCTCTGAAGAGAAGGAACTGGGAATTCTGGTGGACACCAGGTTGCCCATGGGCTAGTAATGTGCCTTTGTGGCCAGGAAGGAAGGAGAGACCTGCTGGAAACCAGCTCTGAAGAGAAGGAACTGGGAATTCTGGTGGACACCAGGTTGCCCATGGGCTAGTAATGTGCCTTTGTGGCCAGGAAGGAAGGAGAGACCTGCTGGAAACCAGCTCTGAAGAGAAGGAACTGGGAATTCTGGTGGACACCAGGTTGCCCATGGGCTAGTAATGTGCCTTTGTGGCCAGGAAGGAAGGAGAGACCTGCTGGAAACCAGCTCTGAAGAGAAGGAACTGGGAATTCTGGTGGACACCAGGTTGCCCATGGGCTAGTAATGTGTCCTTGTGGCCAAGAGGGAAGGAGCAGCTGGGTGGCCATTTGGCATCAGCTCTGCAGCCCAAATCCCCCCAAAATCCAGGCCAAATCCTCCCAAAATCCAGGCCAAATCCTCCCAAAATCCAGGCCAAATCCTCCCAAAATCCAGGCCAAATCCTCCCAAAATCCAGGCCAAATCCTCCCAAAATCCAGGCCAAATCCTCCCAAAATCCAGGCCAAATCCTCCCAAAATCCAGGCCAAATCCTCCCAAAATCCAGGCCAAATCCTCCCAAAATCCAGGCCAAATCCTCCCAAAATCCAGGCCAAATCCTCCCAAAATCCAGGCCAAATCCTCCCAAAATCCAGGCCAAATCCTCCCAAAATCCAGGCCAAATCCTCCCAAAATCCAGGCCAAATCCTCCCAAAATCCAGGCCAAATCCTCCCAAAATCCAGGCCAAATCCTCCCAAAATCCAGGCCAAATCCTCCCAAAATCCAGGCCAAATCCTCCCAAAATCCAGGCCAAATCCTCCCAAAATCCAGGCCAAATCCTCCCAAAATCCAGGCCAAATCCTCCCAAAATCCAGGCCAAATCCTCCCAAAATCCAGGCCAAATCCTCCCAAAATCCAGGCCAAATCCTCCCAAAATCCAGGCCAAATCCTCCCAAAATCCAGGCCAAATCCTCCCAAAATCCAGGCCAAATCCTCCCAAAATCCAGGCCAAATCCTCCCAAAATCCAGGCCAAATCCTCCCAAAATCCAGGCCAAATCCTCCCAAAATCCAGGCCAAATCCTCCCAAAATCCAGGCCAAATCCTCCCAAAATCCAGGCCAAATCCTCCCAAAATCCAGGCCAAATCCTCCCAAAATCCAGGCCAAATCCTCCCAAAATCCAGGCCAAATCCTCCCAAAATCCAGGCCAAATCCTCCCAAAATCCAGGCCAAATCCTCCCAAAATCCAGGCCAAATCCTCCCAAAATCCAGGCCAAATCCTCCCAAAATCCAGGCCAAATCCTCCCAAAATCCAGGCCAAATCCTCCCAAAATCCAGGCCAAATCCTCCCAAAATCCAGGCCAAATCCTCCCAAAATCCAGGCCAAATCCTCCCAAAATCCAGGCCAAATCCTCCCAAAATCCAGGCCAAATCCTCCCAAAATCCAGGCCAAATCCTCCCAAAATCCAGGCCAAATCCTCCCAAAATCCAGGCCAAATCCTCCCAAAATCCAGGCCAAATCCTCCCAAAATCCAGGCCAAATCCTCCCAAAATCCAGGCCAAATCCTCCCAAAATCCAGGCCAAATCCTCCCAAAATCCAGGCCAAATCCTCCCAAAATCCAGGCCAAATCCTCCCAAAATCCAGGCCAAATCCTCCCAAAATCCAGGCCAAATCCTCCCAAAATCCAGGCCAAATCCTCCCAAAATCCAGGCCAAATCCTCCCAAAATCCAGGCCAAATCCTCCCAAAATCCAGGCCAAATCCTCCCAAAATCCAGGCCAAATCCTCCCAAAATCCAGGCCAAATCCTCCCAAAATCCAGGCCAAATCCTCCCAAAATCCAGGCCAAATCCTCCCAAAATCCAGGCCAAATCCTCCCAAAATCCAGGCCAAATCCTCCCAAAATCCAGGCCAAATCCTCCCAAAATCCAGGCCAAATCCTCCCAAAATCCAGGCCAAATCCTCCCAAAATCCAGGCCAAATCCTCCCAAAATCCAGGCCAAATCCTCCCAAAATCCAGGCCAAATCCTCCCAAAATCCAGGCCAAATCCTCCCAAAATCCAGGCCAAATCCTCCCAAAATCCAGGCCAAATCCTCCCAAAATCCAGGCCAAATCCTCCCAAAATCCAGGCCAAATCCTCCCAAAATCCAGGCCAAATCCTCCCAAAATCCAGGCCAAATCCTCCCAAAATCCAGGCCAAATCCTCCCAAAATCCAGGCCAAATCCTCCCAAAATCCAGGCCAAATCCTCCCAAAATCCAGGCCAAATCCTCCCAAAATCCAGGCCAAATCCTCCCAAAATCCAGGCCAAATCCTCCCAAAATCCAGGCCAAATCCTCCCAAAATCCAGGCCAAATCCTCCCAAAATCCAGGCCAAATCCTCCCAAAATCCAGGCCAAATCCTCCCAAAATCCAGGCCAAATCCTCCCAAAATCCAGGCCAAATCCTCCCAAAATCCAGGCCAAATCCTCCCAAAATCCAGGCCAAATCCTCCCAAAATCCAGGCCAAATCCTCCCAAAATCCAGGCCAAATCCTCCCAAAATCCAGGCCAAATCCTCCCAAAATCCAGGCCAAATCCTCCCAAAATCCAGGCCAAATCCTCCCAAAATCCAGGCCAAATCCTCCCAAAATCCAGGCCAAATCCTCCCAAAATCCAGGCCAAATCCTCCCAAAATCCAGGCCAAATCCTCCCAAAATCCAGGCCAAATCCTCCCAAAATCCAGGCCAAATCCTCCCAAAATCCAGGCCAAATCCTCCCAAAATCCAGGCCAAATCCTCCCAAAATCCAGGCCAAATCCTCCCAAAATCCAGGCCAAATCCTCCCAAAATCCAGGCCAAATCCTCCCAAAATCCAGGCCAAATCCTCCCAAAATCCAGGCCAAATCCTCCCAAAATCCAGGCCAAATCCTCCCAAAATCCAGCCCAAATCACCCCCAAAATCCATCTCAACCTCCCCTTTTCGCCTGGTTCAGGGTGAAAACCCCCAGGCATCTGCTTCAAAAGGTTTCCTGCTCCTCAACATTGCAAGGAAAACAGAGGAATTCACCCCAAATCCAGCATCTGAGGGCTGGGAACCAAGAGAGGGAGCGCGAAGGGGGACGAGGGCACCCCCCCAACCAAAAAAAATCAGGGTATTTCAAATGAAAAGCCCACGTTTCCTCCCTCCCTGGGGTTCCGAGGGGTTGAGTCCACTCACGTTGAGTCCTCTGAAGAAGTCCTTGATGGACTCCTCGGTCACGTCGTAGGGCAGGTTGCCCAGGAAGGCGGTGTACGGGGGGGATTTGGGGAGGCGGCTTCTGTCGATGTTGGGCTCCCGAGCGGCCCGGGGGGCGGTGGGGAGGATGGAGCGGTCGATGGGGGGGGCCCGGTACACGTCGTCATCGTTACTGTGCCAAGTGGTAGAAACTAAGGAAGAGAAATAGGTCAAATCGCATCCCCACCCCCCCCCCAAAAAAAAATAAAAAAACACCCAAACGGGAGAGCAGTCGCCGGTCCTCGTCACTGGGGGGGGGGGGGTGATTAAATCCCTGAATTTCATCCCTCTGCCGTT